AAACTACAAACAAACCAAGTCGCCATGTTGAAATTACGTCACAGGGGCAACTCGGGCAACAAAATCTTATCCGACTTCAACGTCATAAAAGGGGCGTGTTTCCGACGGGAAGTGATGTTTTTCGTGACGTATCGTGACATTTTCATCCGAGTTCCAACTTGGAGAGAAATAATCGAACGCACCATTAGTTTCTGAGATATGTTTGTTTACATTGTGATGTCATCAGCGTAAAGTTGGCCCCCCATTTGCGTCTGATTTCCACCAAACTGAGATCTCTCAATCATATGTACTGTGTTTGTGCTGGTTTGTGCCGTTAAAACTGTCCTTTGTGCTGCTTTAGTTTCTGAGATATTAATATTGTTTACATGGTCACATGACACCAGCATGAAGTTAGCCCCCCATTGTTCTAATTTCCACCAAACCTATCACAATCCTATGTACTGCGTTTGTGTTGGTTTGTGGTGTTAAAACTGTCCTTTGTGCTAATTAAGTTTCTGAGATATTAATGTTGTTTACATGGTCACGTGACACCAGCGTGAATTTAAAAAGCAAGGATGAAAATGACCACGATGGTCTTGGAGAACGCATGCAGCACTCATGCAAAAGCAGTGGAGGTAAAGTTTAAACTGATTTTTAAAACATATAATAGATAATCTTGAAAAGGAATCAATTAAAATTGCTAAACTTTCCAAGGTTTTTTTTTCCTGTGACAGGGTAAAAATGATTTTGCGAAACCTAAACATCCTGTACTGTAATATCTGTACCAAACTGAAGGTAAGAAAAAGCCTGACCTTAATATAGCTGACTAGTGATGTATGAATTGCATGTACACAAAATGTAATGTTACCATTAATATCACACATCATCCAGCCCTATAATATACTACAGCCATATTTCGAATTCAGTACAAAATACCCCACCTCGCATTGTGATGTCATTCAGAGCCGGTACCAGTTTTTACTCCAGTGGAAAACCAACTTGAAGTACTGTACTTTTGGTACTTTCTCAAAGTACCAAAAGAAAGGTACCTGGTGTGGTGGAAAAGTACCCTTTAAAGAGAATGTAGAATTATGGGATGCTTGAGACCCAGCATTAGACATAACATGGAGACAATCCTAGAAGGATAAGACATCTAAGAGAAACCAGTAGAGAAGCAGAAAAGACAAGAATGTCAACAGAATTTAAATGAGCATAGGATATGGTAAAGAAGCAAAAGTGCGAATGAACACACAGCTCTAACAATTAATGACAGGATAACGGCATAGGCCGGCATATATATATCGATAATGAGTTATAAATGGGAGACAGCTGTGAGTAATTGAGACACTAGGTTGGGGACCATTAGGAGCATATAAAAAGGCCAGAGACAAATGCTGGTCATGATGGGACTGGCAGAAACAAATCCTGACAATCCCCAGTCATAACAACCACTTTTATAAGGCCAAAGCATCAAAATGTAGGAAAAACATGCTTTTGCTCATTGCAGTGCCCCCCAGTGGTCAAACGACACAAAATTTGGTGGACATCCCCAGGCTGTGGCCCAAGGCCAAATACAGTGGTACCTCAGTTCTCGAACTCATTATAACTCGAATTTCTTAAAAGTCGAACTAACCAGTTCGAAAAAAAAATTACCTAGGACTCTATCTGAATCTCAGAATTCAAACCGTGAACGCCGACCAAAGATAACTTGTACGTGCAGGGAAATGAGTCACGCAGCACGTCTCTCAGCGGAAACAAAGGGTAACGCTTCAGTCTCAGCCTCGCATTCGCTGTGATAGCATCGTGCATGTTTACACTAGCTGAATACAAATATTTAGTAAAAATACATTT